GCCAGCACTAGGCCATGCGGAAGCCAGGAACTTTATCCAGGTCTCTCAAATGGGTGCCAGGGGCCCAGGTACTTGGGCCATTATCTGCTGCTTTCCCAGACTAGCAGTGAGCTGGACTGGAAGTAGAGCAGCCAAGACTAGAACATGCACCCATATGGGTTGCTGGTGTCACAGCTTAACTCACTGTACCATAGCGCCAGTTCTATAAGTCTTTTTAAAATATTATTGGAAAGGCAGAGAGCCAGAAAGAGAGCCCCCATCCACTGGTTCACTCCCCAGTGCCCACAACATCTGGGGTCGGGCTAGGTCAAAGCCAGGAGTTGGGAACTCACTCTGGGTCTCCTTCATGAATGGCAGGGACCCAACTCTTTGAGCCATCACCTGCTGGCTCCCAGGATGCACACTGGCAGGAAGCTGGAGTGGAAAGTGAAGCTGAGACGTGGACCCAGGTACCCTGATAGGGACATGGACGTCCCAAGCAGTGTCAACTGCTGTACCAGTCACTACCCCTCTTTCCTTTCTGATGTCGGGAATATTGAACAAAAGCAGCTGGAGGTCGCCAATAATTTTCAAAAGTATAAATTGGTCTTCAGATCACAAAATCTGAAAGCAGCTCTGATATGCTGTAGATGTCACATCTTCCCTTTGTTTGGGTGGTATTAGTTGATGTATTCTCTGTTCTGTAGAACTGGTATCAACATCTGGCCAAGCCACACATAGCAATTCTGATTCCATCTTCTCCCTCGCACTCACCGAAACATGCTCTGTTTTCCTTTCCCTGGGCTCTTAGGAGCCGCTGACTGCTCAGCTGGGGCCGTGGTGTATTCCTGCAGAGCCCAGAACTAGCTGCACGGATGAAAGACAAAAGACAATGCAGCCCATCGCTGTTTCCTTCAGGTGAAAGAAGCCGCTTTAGGCTCAATAAGTAATTTTACAACTGTTAGCCCGGAAGGAGGAGTTGCGACACAGTGCAGCTGGTGATGGATCCTGGTCCCCTAGGAGCATACTGCGCCTGCTTGGGTGCAGCCCCTGGGGAGGACCAGGCGAATGTGCCGGCCAGCTGCCTTCACAGTCGCAGCATTTTCAGTGTCCTGGGTTTTGCCCTTGGAGAGAGGTCCTTGGGGATAGGGTACACTTTAGGTCACTCTTCATCTGCTAGCAAGGTCCTGCGGCCTTCCTTTAAACAAACCGTCCAAAAGAAGAAGCAATTACAGTACAGCCAAACAGGTTCTTACAGACCCCTGGCCAGCGTTATAAAACCCTGATCTGGTGCTGTGAAAGGAAAGACAGCAGCTCGCAGGCACTGAGCTGAGAGGGTTATTCTCAGGATGCAGTAGGTCCCGCCTCGCCCTGCGTTAGGATCTTAGGGAGGCAGGGCCTCAGCCCAGGCTGCGCATTGGAATTGCTCGCGGTGCGTTTGAAAGTGCAGGTTCTTTCCCACTGGGCCAGCTGAGTCACACCGTGGTGGGTGAGCAGTGAGTGGGGAGGCGCTCTGGTGGTTTGTGTGGATTCTCCAGGTAGCTGTAGCCTCTTACGGAGCCCCGGCTTCCCACGGAAAATGAGAAGACTCCGAAACAGCATGTGCGATCACTCCCTCCCTAGAAACAGCACAGCCCCCGAGGGGTAGCTGGGCAGCCCTGCCCCCCAGCCTGCTGAGCTAAGAGGCAGCCAGGAGCAAGGTTTGGTGTTTACACACTCAAAACCAGCCCCGGTTGTCACGGCAACTCTACTACACAGTTCCTTTCTCCCCTTGGTGGCTTCCTTCCAGGCTGTCTCGTCCTCTGTCAAGCTCTTGAAGTTCCTGGTAACCTGGCCTGCTGCATTCTTTTTATTTTTCTCCCAATTCCTTCATCTTATGTGTTTGCTAGCGTGCAGTGCTTCACCTGCGTGGCACTCCACTCCCCCCAAACACACCTGAAAACAGCGGATGACAAAAATGGCCTTCGAGAGGCCACACCAGCTGTTCCTAGGCCTGTGCACTAACCTATATAAGGCCAAGCACCAAAGACCCGTGCTCCTACACCTCTGAATGAAGTTATGGGGCAGGTGTTTGGCGTAGTGCTCAAGCTGCTGGTGGGGCTGTCCGTGTTCCACATCAGAGGACCTGGGCTCAGGTCACGTATCCCCGATTCCAGCTTCCTGTGGTGTGCACTCGGGGAGGCAGTGGTGGCTCAGAGCACTGGGTTCCTGTCACTCATGGGAGAGCTAGTTTCCAGCTCCCGGCTCCAGCTGCTACAGGCATTAGGAGTATAAACCTGTACGTAGGAGTGTTTCTCCCTCTCTCCCTCCCTCTCTGTTTCCTTGTTTCCCTGTTTCTCAAGTAAATAAATGCTTAAACAAACAAACAAAAAACCGCACATTTACGACTTCCAAAGTCGGCTGTAAATCAGAGGCTGGCAAAGGAACTATTCCAGGCAGGCACACAGAAAGCCCCAGAAGTGACTGCTGTTCCGGAATAGCAGGGCCAGCAGCAGGAAAGCCCGAAGAAATGGGTACAAGAGCTGGGAATTCCAGACGTGGAGGCCAGAGCGGCTTCCCACCCCTCAGTGGGTCATGAGCCGTCAGGACTTCGCTCTGAAAGAGCCACGACCATGACACCAAGAAAATGCTGAACTAGGCTTGGCTGAAGGGAGCACAGTACCGAATGACAAGGATTCCAGCTGGGTGCAGGGCTGAAGGCTGAAAGAGGTAAACTCTCGGGGCCGCATTTGCGGTGCAGCAGGTTAAGCCGCTGCCTGCCACCACGCATCCTCTGTCACAGCACCCATCTGAGTCCCGGCTGCTCTGCCTCGGATCCAGCTCCCTACTAATGCGCCTGGGGAGGCAGCAGATGATAGGCCATGAGCTTGGACCCCGCCCCCATGTAGGAGACCTGAATGGAGTTCCTGGTTCCTGACTGTGGCCTGGCCCAGCCCCTGCTGCTGTGGACATTTGAGAGGGTGAACCAACAGACGGAAGATCTTTTACTTTCGCTCGTCTCCCTCCTCGTTCCCTCCCTTTCTCCCTGACACTCTGCCAAGTCTTTAAAAAAAGACATCATTACAGGCCTCCCCTCCCCACAAATGCTCCTACCTTCCATATGGGAGTCACTTGATAAATGTGAAATGAGTGAATGAGCCAGTATTCCACAGGCTCTCCCACAGAATTAACTACTTGCCCGAAGATATAAATTTGATAAATAACCCAGTCCGTTATGGGAACAGCAGTTAAAAAAAAAAAATAGTAAATCCTGGCACCAGGAAGATCGGCTGGTTGGTATTCTGTTTGTGAAAAAACTGAGCTCCATGAGTATGCAAGCTGTGAGCCTAAGTTTTTGAGTTTTTGTTTTTTTTTTTTTTTTTAAGATTTATTTTATTTGAAAGGCAGAGTTAACAGAGAGAGATTTTCCATCTGCTAGTTCACTCCCCAAATGGCCACAAAGGCCAGAGTTGGGCCAGCCTGAAGCCAGGAGCCAGGAGCTTCCTCTGGGTCTCCCACATGGGTGCAGGGGCCCAAGAACTTGGGCCATCCTCCACTGCTTTCCCAGGCCACAGCAGAGAGCTGGATCAGAAGTGGAGCAGCCAGGACTCAAACCAGTACCCAAATGGGAAGCCGGCACTGCAGGAGCAGCTTTACCCATTGTGCCACAGCACTAGCCCCAGTCATAAGTTTTTTAGAAAATATGGGGCCAGCAGTCGGCATGTGGTATAAGGGGTTAAGTCTCTGTCTGTGACACTGACATTCCATGTGGACACCAGTTCACATCCCAGCTGCTCCACTTCCAATCCAGCTCCCTGCTAATACACCTTGGAAAGCAGTAGAGGATGGCCCAAGTGCTTGGGCCCCTGCCACCCACCTGGGAGACCCAAATGAAGCTCCTGGTTCCTGGCTTCAGCCTGGCTCAGCCCTGGCTGTTGCAGCTATGTGGGGAATGAACCAGTGGACATTAGACCTCTGTGTGTGTCTCTCCTACCTTCTCTGCAACTTTGACTTTCAAAATAAATAAATCATTTTTAAAAATAAAATTAAAAAATATAGAGAGAAAAGGGGGAAGAGACTAGAAGGATGTAAGCCAATATACAACATGATTATCCATTTACTTTCTCATTTTACAAAATTGAGCACTTTCTATGTGACACTTTAGCATTGCTGAATTAACCAAGCTTAGAGAAACTCTCCTGGCAACAATAAGCTAACTGCTGTTTATCATTTAAAAGCAAGAACTGGAGCACATGTAAGCACGACCAACTCAAAGGCACCAGTGATGGGTGGTGCACGGTAGGACATGGGATATCCTTCCAAACACGGCCCAGGGCGTCTGATGCTTCCCACCTGCCCTGGCGGGAGGAACACTGCTTCACAGTGGCCAGACGGTGCCATAGAACATGCTCATTTTAGGTCAGGAACACCAAGTGTATCGACCCTTCTTGAATTCAGCCAGCAACACTCGGGGCTCTGTGTGCAGCTCATGGCCCAGCAGGAGATGCCTGTAGTCCTCACGTGGCTGTTGCGCCCAACTCTGAATCATGGCTTGAGAAGGGGTTTTCCCAGTGCTCCAAAACGGATTTTATAGCGTGGCTGCCGCCAGATGTCAGAATGTGAACACGCACAGATAACTGCCGTGTGTGTTCGAGACCTGTGCAGAGCCTGGCGTCGGCCTGTAGTTGTCCTCTTCGGGCAGATGACGCTATGCTGGCCGGACCCATCACAGATGCAAAGTGGTATTTCTGGGGCATAGTTGGACATCTTTAATTCTTTGTATCTTTTTTTTTTAATTCAGTGAAGAGAAACTTGGTGTTACGAGTCAGCTCTATATTACCGCCTTAAAAAGTAGTTATCTCCAGTTCTAAGTTGGTATTTACAACATTTTCATTTCTTAGGGGTGCTGTTATTGTCTGCTCTGTCGACATGTCATTTACGGGTTTTTCTCTCTGGGCTGAGGTTCAGGCCAGATAAACATCCAAACCACGGTTGGGATGGCACCAGGTACAAGTAACGCTCTTCTCTCTCTGCCCACCCAGGTTACCCCCTCGCTCTGTGTTACCGGCATTACCTTTTCCACAAGGACACCTACCTCATCCATCTCTTCCATGCCTTCACCGGCCTCTCCATCGCTTATTTTAACTTCGGTGAGTGACCTGCGTCAGCAGCGCCACTGGGATAGCGGGAAGCTGGGAAGCAACATACTTGAGCAGAATCTCCTCCAGGGAACTTGGTGGGTCGGGAAGTTAGCACGCTGTGCTCGTAAAGAGGGTTCAGTGGACAGGAACACTGCCTACCTTCCCTTTTCTGCTTTCATGTACACTTCTGTGTCAGAAAAACACTGGGACCATGGTTCCCCTCACCAGACGCACCCACAGAGAAGCATCAGTTTCTCCCGGGGCGGCTGTGACTGACGGTGACAGATGCACGCACTCCCCATGCACGATCATTCCTCAGTTCAGACCTTGCGATCCACAGTAACACCCTGCCATCTCAATATTTACATTATTCATCTGCATCCCTCCCTCCAATACCTGAGATGATTCTAGAAAAAGATACTAATACCAAAGTTTTCTCTTTTTTAAAAAACAATGTTTATTTTCATCTACTTGAAAAGCAGTGACATCTTTCATTCTGTGGTTCATTCCCCAGATGCCCACAACAGCCAGGGCTGAGCCAGGCTGAAGCCAGAAGCCAGAACTCCATCCTGGGGAGGCAGCAGATGATAGGCCAAGAGTTTGGACCCCATCCCGATGTGGGAGACTTGAATGGAGTTCCTAGTGTGGCAGGGGCCCAAGGACTCAGGCCATCTTCTGCTGCCTTCCCAGGCACACTAGCAGGAAGTTGGATTAGAAGTGGAACAGCCTAGATTTGAACTGATACTCAGATTTGGGATGCCAACAACACCAGCTCCCGGGACCCAACTACTTGGCCCATCACTGCTGCCTCCCAAGACCCATTAGCAGGAAGCTAGAGCAGAAGTGAAGTACCTGGGACTCAAACCCAGGCGCTCTGATAGGAGGTGCCAGCGTCCTAAGCAGTAGCTTAACCCATCTGCCACAACTCCCACACCAAAGTTTTATCTTTGTATGTACTTTGTTGTTGGAAGTTTCAGGATGGGAAGAAAAGAAACCAGGCTAAATTCTGCTCTTCTCTGCACCCAGGATACCAGTTCTACCACTCCCTGCTATGTATTGTGCTTCAGTTCCTCATCCTGCGCCTCATGGGCCGCACCATCACTGCCGTCCTCACCACCTTTTGCGTCCAGATGGTAAATGTCTTTTCCTTAGCTCAGCCACAGCAGACTGCTGTGCTGGCAGCGGGGGCGGGAAGGAGGGGACTGTGGTACGGGCAAAGCAGTGAAGGAGACTGAACGCCTCCCCCCTTCCTCCAATACCTAGCTGAATGGCCCGGCTAGGTCACTTAGCATGAGCCCAGGGGTGTCTGCAGCTGGCAGTAATGACTTTGCCTGCCAGCGAGTCCTTCACATAGGATCGTGCCAGTAAGGCTCCCGGATTCCACCAGGTTAGCCCAGCTGTCCACGAGGGAAGCCAGTTAAAGGCAAAGCAGAACACCAACTGAGCTAAATGAGCTACAGAAGCTGAGCGTTGAAATTCTCATTTGTTTAGCCTTCATTTTGCTGGAAAACCTTGAGCAAGTCTCTTCCCATTAGAGTCTCAGTGGCTCCACTTAACAGGAACTTCTTGAATCTTGTAATGATGGTACCACGAGAAAGGAAAAACGAAAGAGTATGGACTTCAGAGCAAGAAGATAAATAATTGTTAATGATGATAGAACAAATACAGAGTGTCTTAGAAAGTTTGTGGAAAATGGAATTAAAAGCTGGGTTTGTTTTGATGCAAAAAATTATGAAATCCATAGTTTTTTCATAATACACACTTTCCATGAACTTTAGGAAAACCCCATGTACTTCTCTCCTCCCCTAGGCCTACCTTCTCGCTGGGTATTATTACACAGCCACCGGCAACTACGACATCAAGTGGACAATGCCACACTGCGTTCTGACCTTGAAGCTGATTGGTAAGCGGTGGGCCACTGCCTTCCTCCTGAACGGTAGGCCCCTCCCTTCTCCGACCCAAAACCTCCTGGGTGCTCTGCCCGCTCATCCGCCCCTGGCTGCACTCAGTCCACAGGCCACTTGCTCAGTGTCCTCTCCCTCTGCTCCACCCACGCCTTCTCTCTCTGCTCAGGTCTGGCTATTGACTACTTTGACGGAGGGAAGTCGCAGGTAAGTGCCCATTCCTCTGCAGAGAGGTTAACTTAACAGCCTTAAAGAGAGGGAAGGAGAAAGGCTGTTACCGCAAGACTGGCCCCTGATACCAGGGGCAGAGCCTCTCCCTCATCCCCCGCCTGTGTGATATCTATTGCAGATAGCAGTGAGCAAGGATCAACAAATCTGATTTGCCCAGGATCCAGCTCTTGCACAAAGTCCAGAGATCAATGCCAGCAAGGCATTTGTTAAAGCAGCAACAGACACCTGTTTGCTCAGCTCCCCCACACACACTCATTTCCACCCGAACAACTATTTTTGTCCCCTAAAGAGAAGGCTGTTTGAAGAACCCCAGGCAGTGGGGCACAAGGGTGGGGAGCACTCAAACTGCCTCTTGGAAGGAGATTCAAGGCTGTCCTGAACCATTCATTCTCTTCTCGGCGTAGAACTCCTTGTCCTCTGAGCAACAGAAATATGCCATACGGGGTGTCCCTTCCCTGCTGGAAGTTGCTGGTTTCTCCTACTTCTATGGGGCCTTCTTGGTAGGGCCCCAGTTCTCAATGAACCACTACATGAAGCTGGTGCAGGGACAGCTGACTGACATACCAGGGAAGATACCAAACAGGTAATTGCCCCTCTTGGTTAAGACCTCTGTGTAGGTTTCTCACCCAGAACAAAGTCACAGTTGCAGTGACTGTCCTGAGGGCCAGCCCTAGCCTCACTCCAGCCTGGCCCTGGCACACAGTGCCGTGTCACAGCCCTGGACTGCCATGGGCACACCGTACCTGCTCAGCCAGCAGTGGCCCTCAGCAGCTTGGAACACTTCCAGCCATTCTGACCCCGTGCTGCAAACCTGAAGTGCACTTTTATGCCACAGTGATGTCTGTGCCTTTAAAGCCCATTTTCTGATTAAAGAAATGAATATTAAATACATAAAAATATGTGTACGTAGCTATCTACAGAAAATGTAAGTTTCTAGAAAAATCCTTCCACTGAGGATGTGCCTGTGTTTCAGCATCAGTTCACCCAAGACAAGGGAGGACCAGATTCAGAATGGATCACTTATCTTAGCTATGTTGAATTTCCAGTCCCAGTGTAGATGGACAGCCCTGTGAGACCTTGAAATCGGTAGTATCTGGGGGCGGGGGGCCAACGTGAGACTCAGCCACAGCCTCCCCTGTAGCTGACCACACAGAGAAGACGCCCTTCCCTGCAAGAGCGTGGGCTGTGGGTAGCAGAGCCCCTCGTCCCAGGCCAGACCCTGCTCTCCGTAACTGAAGGGCCGAGGGGGAAGGGACTGGACCCTGCCCCCTGTGACCCCACTTGTTCCTTTCCAGCACCATACCTGCTCTCAAGCGCCTGAGTCTGGGCCTTGTCTACCTGGTGGGCTACACTCTGCTCAGCCCCCACATCACAGAAGACTATCTCCTCACTGAAGACTATGAAGTGAGTGGTCCCTAAAGCAGCAGCAGTGCGACTGCACCAGAGCTAGCGAGTGGACAGGCAAGGGCCCCTGTAGGTAGCAAATCAGTGGGTACTACCACCTACAAATGAATGTTGGTTTTGCTCTAGATCGGTGAGCGTTGGTGTCAATGCCAGCCGGGCCGGGCCATGTTCATCAGCCAGCACTGAACGACCTTCGCGGGCACGGGGCTGGGCCAGGTGCACTTTTAGCACCCCTCCTCCCCCGAGCAGCTCTGAGCCTGCCTCACTACCACCCACTGACTCCTTGCAGCACAGCAGCTTCTGAGTCTCCTGTTTGCTTCTCTTGACTGAGACATTGGGAGCTTCTAGGGAATTTGGAAGCCAAGGGAGGGGGAAGTGCTGGCTTTTGCTCCTGCCCAGCTGAGAGGCTTGCAACACTTCCATATCCATTCTGGGTAGGTTTCTCCTAAAATTAACACCAAACATGAATACGTCAAGTCTGTCTGGACTTACTGTCCCAAATGCTCAGTCTTTTGCGAAAGCAAACAGTCAAAGCATTCAGGATGATGCTGTGTGGGGAACCCTCCAAGGATCAGGTGACTGGATGTTCCCTGGACCCCTGCTGACTCCCCGTAGCCTGTTGTAGAGGCAGTGAAGCCAGAATGTCAGGTGGACATCTGGCCACAGGACCTTGGCAAGCACCAAGCAGCCCCTAGTCTGAAAAGGAAGGACATGAAGGGGACTTCGCTTTGCCTGGCGAGAGCCCTAATGCGCGTGTTTTCTTCTCAAGAACCACCCTTTCTGGTTCCGCTGCATGTACATGCTGGTCTGGGGCAAGTTCGTGCTGTACAAATACGTCACCTGTTGGCTGGTCACGGTAAGTGGCAAAGATGAAGCAGGGTGCCACATGGGGCAGGTAGGGAAGAGGGCGGCAAGCACCCTGAGCCCGCCCTGAGCCCTCTCTCCCTCAGGAAGGAGTATGCATTTTGTCGGGACTGGGCTTCAATGGCATAGAAGACGGCAAGGCCAGGTGGGACGCCTGTGCTAACATGAAGGTGTGGCTCTTCGAAACGACCCCACGCTTCACTGGCACCATTGCCTCTTTCAACATCAACACCAACGCCTGGGTGTCCCGGTAAGCCGCCAGGTGGGAGGCTGGCACCCTGGCTCCTTCCTTCTGCCTCCCCATACCTGTGGGCGGGGACGTGATCTGTCCCCTCCACCCAGCCTCTCTCTCACATACACGCCTGTTAGTGCTGCCTTCCACACCCCCTAGTGGCCACAACTGGAGCCACCATGCACTCAGCATGCAGTCAGGATGGCTTGGAGGCATGGCCTGGTCACTTCACGTTTGTTTACCCACCTTTCTCTCCAGTTACTTCTATAAACGACTCAAGTTCCTTGGAAACAAACAAGTCTCCCAGGGACTCTCCTTGCTATTCCTGGCCCTTTGGCATGGCCTACACTCAGGATACCTGGTCTGCTTCCAGATGGAATTCCTCATTGTTATTGTGGAAAGACAGGTAGGCCCTCAAGGGCAGTGGGTGACAGGGACTGTGAAGGACGAGAAACTGATGCCCTCGCCTCCCTCCACAGGCGGAGAGCCTGATTAGGGACAGCCCAGCCCTGAGCCACCTGGCCTCCATCACGCTCCTCCGGCCCTTCTTCTACCTGGTGCAGCAGACCATCCACTGGCTCTTCATGGGCTACTCAATGACGGCCTTCTGCCTCTTCACATGGGACAAGTGGCTGAAGGTAAGCCAGGGCCTGCTTGCGAGGCCCAGGGTTGCACCAGAACCTGAGGCAGCAAGGGGTACTCTGCTCTCAGGCACCTCAGCAGCCTTCCTCTCTCCACAGGTGTACAAATCCGTCTATTTTCTCGGCCACGTCTTTTTCCTGAGCCTGCTCTTCATACTGTCTTATGTTAACACAGTAATGGTGCCAAGGAAAGAGAAACTGAAGAAAATGGAATAACCTATTTGCCTGGTAATCCTAGTGGCAATCCGGGGTGACGTTCCAGGTAGCCTGCTGCTAGGGACACCCAGTGTGGGGCGCTGAGTGCTCTGACATCCAGAGCGGGGAGGACTAACTCTGAGCAGCCTTCCAATTAAACTTCTTGTCTTGCAGGTGGCCTAGAGCAGGACTGGTGCAGAAACTACTTGTCTCCCTCTCCACAGCACTCCCGCGCCCCCCAGCAGAGACAACAGAAAAGCCAGGGAGCTGGAAGACGCAGTCCTCCCAGCTGTGCCTCTGCCGCCAGCCAAGTCTTCATCTGGGGCCAAAGGGGAAACTCTTGTGGGAGGAGCAGAGGGGCCCATGTCCCCCCTCTCGCTCTCCCATGCACGTTGCCTTATCTCTTCCCCTCCAGCCAGGAATCTGTTGTTTCCCTTCTGCCAATTTACTATGATTGTATAAGTGCCGCGACCGCCACCCCCCCTATGGGGGGGAGGGGAGGGGCACAAGGCCCTGCCTGCTCCACTTTTTCTACCTTGAACTGTACCAGATAAAATCACTTCTGTTCGGTTTTTCACCGCCGGCGTTCCTGACTGCTTTCTTTCAGACGTGGTCTGCCTCCACGCTCACGTGGCAGGAATAATCAGGTTCTGTCCTTCAGCTCACAGTGAGCGAAAGCCTGCCTTCAAGCCTGGAATCCAGCCACAAGCTCTACCTTCCTGTCCCCCGAAGCCTGAGGGGAGCCAACAGCTTCCACCATCAGACACCACTACGTTTAGGACCCCCTGGAAAAAAACAAGTTTACAAGAACAGTATTTATGGGCTAAACAAAGAGCAAATGTACAGCCACGGCTTCCCCAAACTCCATGACCTTGGTGCAGGAAGGTCAGCTCCCAGCAGTCAGTCCAGGGCAGGGCCAAGAGATGCAGTGTCAGCAGCCTTGGTTCAGAACCACTCTCCTATGTCAGATAATGCCCCAGACTTCTTCAAAGGCCGTGGTGAGTTTTGCACAGGTGAGAGCCGCAGAAAGGGGGTAGTTGCTGAGGGACACCATCTTCTCTGTGTACTCCACGCTGACCTGAGGGGACAAGAGTCTCGTCACCCAGCTCTGGTATTGGAACAAGTTCAGCCCTACTAAGGGCAGGCAGAATCGCTGAGCTCCTGTGCCAGCAGTGCTGCTTCCTATCAAATGTCCATCAAGAACCAATCCTAACTTTGACTATTACAAATACATCAGGATCCTCAGAGGACGACCCTGGGGCAGGATGTGCAGCCACCCCCACCTTTAGCTCTGGCACTATCCTCTATTTTCCAACATGTTGGAACAAGGATGGTCGAAGTGCTAATGCTCTTGGAATTCAGTACTAAGCATCGCTCTAAGATCTAAGGGTTGAGCCCAGACCTTACCTTGCCATGGGCAAAGGCCCCAACCACAAAAACAATAGGGTCGCTGCTGGGCACCAGCTCCCTTACGTCGCTGACGACTGGGACGGAGAAAGAAGTACCAATCTTCATGCATCCAACTGGGAAGTGATCTGACACCGGATTCTTAATCACCTTTAAAAAAAAATTCGGAAACATTCCCAGAACACTGCCTCCAATCAGCAGGCTCTCTTTTTTTTCCCCAAATATATGTTTACGCATTTTTATTTATCTGAAGGCAGAGTGACAGAGAAAGAAGAATAGACAGATCTTCCATCCACTGGTTCACTTCCCAGGTGCCTGGCTGGGCCAGTCTGAAGCCAGGAGTCAGGAGCTCCATCCAGGCCTCCCATGTGGGTGGCGGGAACTCAGTCCTTGTTATCATCTGCTGCCTCCCAGGCACACTAGTGTGAAGCTGGGTCACCAGAAGCAGAGGCGAATGTAAGAGTTGATCCCAGGCACTCTGATATGGAATGTAGGGGTCCCAAATGTTGGCTATTTTCTTTAAGATTATAGTTGAGGGGCCAGCACTGTGGCATATCAAGTAAAGCCACCACCTGCAGTGCCAGCATTTCATATGGGCACTGGTTTGAGTCCCGGCTGCTCCACTTCCGATCCAGCTCTCTGCTATGGCCTGGGAAAGCAGTAGAAGATGGCCCAGTCCTTGGGCCCCTGTACCCACATGGGAGACCTTAAAGAAGCTCCTGACTCCTGGCTTTGGATCAACCCAGCTCTGGCCATTGCAGCCATCTGGAGAGTAAATCAGCAGATGGAAGACCTCTCTCGACCTCTCTCTAACTCTTACCTTTCAAATAAATCAATAAATTTAAAAATCATTTACTTGAAAGAATGACCGAGACAGAGAAAGACCTTCCATCTGCTGGTTCACTCCTCAAACAGCCACAATGGACAAGGCTGCACAATGCCAGAGCCAGGAACTCCATCTGGGTCTCCCACATGAATGCAGGGAACCAAGCACTTGGGCCATCCTTGTGCATTCCCAGGCACATTAGCAGGTAGTTGGATCAGAAAGAGCAGTTGGGACTCCAACCAGAGTTCCAATACAGGACTCTACCTGCCACCATCGCAGGTAGTGGCTTAACCCACTGCACCACAGCACCTCCCGGTCAGCAGGTTCTAATACCTTACCTTCAAGAGTTTCTGGGGGCCATCAGCTGCTCGAACACTGAGTTTGTGTAAAAGCTGAACTAGGAAAAGAAACCAAAAGTTCAGAGTTGGCTGGAAACTGCACTCCGACTCAGTAATCTTATCACAAACACCCCCAGCTCCGTGCACCCTTTCCATGGAGACCGCAGTCCTCACATGTTATGCACCACTGCTGTCGAGTACATGACTAACAGTACAGTGACGGAGTCCCACAGCAGGAACCTGCTCCGAGAACAGGAACTTCCACGCACACGTAAAAACAGCGGGAAGTGTCATCCTGCTATCAGTCACGTTCCCCCTCTCACTTAAACATTCCACTTCTAATTCTCCCTTTTCCTCTTCACTACTGCGAACTCCATGCTGAAGGCTGAGTCCTAAGCGTCTCACCCATGAGTCCACAGAAGCGGTCGAAGGTTCTGGGAATTCGCGTCTGCGGGTTCACTTCGATCAGCACGTTCTTCTGCGTGTGGATATAAACTTGCAGCAGGCCCGCTCGGTTCAGGGGACTGTCCATCAGCATCAGCAAGCTCTGGGGAAGGCAGGACCCAGGCACGGGTAAGGCTGCGGAGCAGCAGCACTCAGCTGCCCTGCCGCCACAGAGACCCAAGGGGCTGCAAGCCGTCCTGCAGTTACCTGGTGGGCTATGTCTGGTCTTACTTCCCCGGGATCTCGTCCATTCTTCAACAACATGGACTTGTGCTTGTCACAGTTGAGTAGCTCGTATGTCTTCCCTACCTGAAGAATAGGCACACCATAAGCTTCAACAACCTGGCCTAGCGGTTCTCAGAGTGTGGTCCTAGGACCAGCAGCTTCACCATAATCTGGACACTTCCACGCAAATTCTGAAGCACAGCCACAGCTACTAAATCAGAAACCCAATGAGGCCAGCAAGCCCTTGTGTAGCTGCATTTACCCCAAGTAATTGATTTTTGTTTGCTTATTTTTCATCTTATATATTCTTGACAGAGACACAGAGAGCTTCCACCTGCTGGTTCATTCCCCAAATGCCCACAACAGCCAGAGCTGGGCCAGACTGAAGCTATGAGCCCAGAACCATCCAGCTCTCCCATGTGAGTGGCAGGGGAACAAGCACTCAAGCCATCACCTGCTACCTCCCAGAATGCATCAGCAGGAAGCTGGACCTGAAGTGGAACAGCTAGGACTTGAACCAGCACTCTCAAAAAGCACTCACAAAAAGTGGCTTAACACACCGCACCCTAACACTCAGCCCCCAGATAAATTCATCTTAAAAGGGTACATACAACCTGTAGTTTCACATGATCTATACTGGATTCAGTTTTTGGTTTTTTTATTTTTTTAAGATGTATTTATTTGAAAGGCAGTACGGGGGCAGGGGGAGTACAGAGAGAGAGAGAGAATGTGTCTTTAGTCCACTGGCTCACTCCCCAAATGGCTGCAATGGCCAGAGCTGTACTGATCTGAAGCCAGGAGTCAGGAACTTCTTCCAGGTCTCCCATCTAGGTGCAGAGGCCCAAGTATTTGGGTCATCTACTGCTTTCCCAGGCCATAGCAGAGAGCTGGATTGCAAGTGGAGCAGCCAGGACTCGAACCAGCACCCATATGGGATGCCAGCAATGCAGGCAGCGGCGTTACCTGCTACACCACAGAACCAGCCCTCAGATTCAGTTTTAAAACCCAGTAAGGCCAGTGCAAGATCCTGGAACCAGGCAAGAGTTAGGTTGCTAAGCAAGGCTGGGAGTGTCTGTTCATCACAGGAGCACTACATACAAAAGACCCTCTAAGAGCTCCTGGGAAAAAATGCAGATGATGAAAAAACACAGATTTCAAAAAAAATGTTGCACCAAAACATCCCAATTCTATTTTTCCATGAACTTTCTGAAATACCCTTGTATGTACTGGGCAAGATACACATAGCAGCTATCTTCAGTTTGCTTATAACAACAAAAATATGTACTAAGTGAAGAGCTACAAATCTGAACAGGAAAATGTGTGAAAATTCTTATGATAGAGGGAGCAGCTTAATCAGGAATACTTTTCCAAGAAGTAAAATAGAGAGGAATGGCTACCGCCAGTTTAAGATCAGTGTGAGAGGGGCTGGCGCTATGGCATAGCGGGTAAATCCACCGCCTGCAGTGCCAGCATCCCACATGGGCGCAGGATTGAGTCCCAACTGCTCCACTTCCGATCCAGCTCTCTGCTATGGCCTAGGAAAGCAGGAAGATGGCCCAACTCCTTGGGCCACTGCGCATGGGTGGGAAATCCGGAAGAAGCTCCTGGCTCCTGGCTTCAGATCAGCACAGCTCCAGCCATCGCGGCAAACTAGGGAGTGAACCAGAGGATGGAAGACCTCTCTGCCTCTCCTCTCTCTGTGTAACTCTTTCAAGTAAATAAATAAATTTTTAAAAAAAATTTTGACAAGCTGAAATAAAAACATCACAAATAAGTACAAAGAAAGAACAAAGAACCAAAAACTAAATCCAGGGGGAATTCTTAGAAGAAAAAGAATCTCTTGAATAGACTAATCCTGTTTCAGCCCATTAGTAGGCCATAACCAGGGTGTTTGTTCTTTCAGTGAAACAAAATAGAAACTGAGAGCACTACACACATAGTAATGATTTATGAAACATTTGGTTTTATTAGTTTAAGGTGTTTATCTACCCACAATGTAACTTTTTTATTGTGGGTTGTGGTTATTAAGTTTGAAAACCACTAACTACAATAATCAGAAGATGAATACCACGTGTCATGACTATTGAAGACATAGAAAATAATTTTAAAACCTTACTTCCTGGGGCAGGCCCTGTGGCGTGGCAGGTTAAGTCGATGCCTGCAGCGCCGGCATCCCATGTGGGCGGCAGTTCAATCCCAGCTGCTCCACTTCTGATCCAGCTCGCAGCTAATGTGCCAGGGAAAGTAGCAGAGGATGGCCCATATGCTTGGACCCCTGCACCCACGTCAAAGACCCGGAAGAAGCTCCTAGCTCCTGGCTCCAGCCTGGTCCAGCTTGGTCCAGCCCTGGCTGTTGGGGAGTAAACCAGCAGATAGAAGACCTCTGTGTGTGTCTCTTTCTCTCTCTCTCTGAGTGAACCAACAGATAAAAGACCTCTTTCTGTGTTTCCTTCTCTAACTCTGCCTGTCAAATAAATAAATAAATTTTTAAAAGCCTTATTTCCTGTCCTCAGCACAAATCACATGAATATTTAATTCAAATTGTGTTTAACGTTATAAAGAAAAAATATAAAATCCTTTATAAAAGGATTACAAGAGGACCTAATTTATAACAGGGATTTATTCCTGAGAAAGTAACATTTAATCTAACAAATGAATGAACAGCATAGTAGGAATTCAATAATTGTTAAATGAATGAACAGATAAGTAGGAGGAATTAGTGAGGCAAAGAGCTGAGTAATGAGAGCTGAAAGCTCCTGGCTCCTGGCTCCTGGCTTCGGATCAGCACAGCTGAGAAGAACATATTCAATAACCAAAGAACTGACGGACCAGTGAGGCTGAGCACAGGAACAAACCCAGAGAGCAGACCCAGATGAGGCTGGCAGAGGCGAGAGCTGCCGATACAAGGCAGGCAGAAAATAAAGGCAGTCTAATGAAGATGTTAACCAGTTATGAACTCTTCTAACACTTCTACTGACGACAGTTTGGCCTGAATTCTCCCACTGCATGCTCTAGGAACTTTAAACTGACCATAACCATTACAACTTCTTAATAAATAATCAGGAATAAACAGTACCAAATGCCAGACATTATTCTACACACTTTATACACACTAACTCCTTCAATCCTTCCAACAACCCAATAAGGTAGATAACAGTTATTATCTTCATGAACTACGCAAACTAAGTGGTTAAGTGGTCTGCTTAACGTCACACAACCAGGAGGCGGAAGAGATCTAAACCAGGCAGCCCAGGGCAGGTCCACATTCTCAACCCGTCTGCTCTGCTGAGACTGACATGCTTGGTACATTTGCAAATTCGCTATATGCAATACCTGACATGACAAATGCCAAAATTAATATGCAGAGTTAATACACTGGAAAGAAAGACAATTACTGAAGATGACGAGGAGAACCTATAATGAGGTTGCAAATATGAAGTACATTAGAAAAAAAAAGCAGGTTTCCTAGACTGCAAGCTTAATAAAGTGTCACCGTGGTTAAGAGAGAACAGATGCAAAAGCATCTCACCTTAGATTAAAGGACTTTCATAACAGTTCTACGTTAACGTATTATCCTCATTTTACAAACGGAGGACGAATTTATCTTCTCAAAATCACACTTAGCATCAGTGACAGAACCAAGATTAAAATTCAGGTAAGACTTCTCAAGCAATGCTATTTCTTCTGGCCTACTCCTTGAACAAGTTCTAAAAGAGTAAGAAAACCAGAGGGAATGATGGCATTTCATAACAGGAAGCTGACGGTTTTACTGTATGGGAAGAGACGGATGAGAAGCAAAAATGAAGACATACAAGTACTGGCTCGTACTACCGAGAGGCGGTGACAGTGGGCACCTTAACGCACTGCAACACAGAGCCCTTAGGAATAAGAGGTGGGCTGACGCATGAACGAAACGCTTCTCCCCTTAAAAGATTTTGTAACACAGGAGCCTGGTACAGCAACTAGAGGCAAGGAGACGCGGGCTGGAACAGGATTCGAAAAAGGGAAAAGAAAATGAATAGTCCACCCGGGATGTCAAGCCAAGAGACAGCAGCTAGGCCCCCTTCATCCAAAAGCATGCGTTCTCCGTCCACTTCGAGCCCCTCGGCGTCATCCCAAAGCCCATATAAAACGCCTACTTCGCCACTTCGTCTCCCAAACTACCTTGACTGTCTCCAGACTGGCCCCTTCCAGCACCACAATGAGCCTGCGGCCTCCGCTCTTGCTTCCTGCCCCGAGTCGAGGCCGCTTGGGCGCCGCAGCATCCCAGTCCTCTTCCCGCTCCCCAGAGCGCCACTCACGAGGCTGGAATTCACCATTGGGGGCAGCCATCTTGCCACCGGGCCGGAAATTGCGCCGGCGTCCTTAACTGAGGACCCCGCGTTCGTCCAAATGGCAAACTTCCTTCCGCCTGCCATTTTGAAAGTGGGCGCTGGAAAATGGCGACGCTTTGCCGTCTCGCGCTAGCGACGCCTCCCCGGGAGGGCAGGGTTCCAGAAGGGGGCGGGACTTCCGGGTGCGCGCGTCTGTGCGCGAAGTTTGGGTCCTCCTTGCGCGCAGGGGGCGGGTTTAGAGAGGAGCGCACTTCCGGTGCCCTTTCTCCCGGGAGCAGCACGGCCTCGAACCCTCGTGTGTGGGTGTGATCTCTGAACGAGTGGGGTCGAGGCGGGCCGCCGCCCCAGCTCTGACCTCCGGTGCCGCCGGCCTCCGGACCAGACATGGCCCAAAACTTGAAGGACTTAGCAGGACGGCTGCCCGCCGGGCCTCGGGGCATGGGCACGGCGCTGAAACTGCTGCTGGGGGCCGGCGCCGTGGCCTACGGCGTCCGCGAGTCGGTGTTCACCGGTGAGCAACCTCCACCGCTAGCCGGACCCCAGACCCCCGGCCTGCGTCGCCAGCTCCCGCGTTCCGCGAGCCCCTCACTCCCCCCGCCCTCAGCCCAGCACGTTCTCCGAGCAGCGCACTGGCCTGACCCTCACTCCTCTCCCCACAGTGGAAGGCGGGCACAGGGCCATCTTCTTTAACCGGATCGGGGGCGTGCAGCAGGACACCATCCTGGCCGAGGGCCTGCACTTCAGGTAATGGAGGGTGGAGCACAAGGACCCCGAAGCTCCCAGTCGCCGACCCACCGCTGGCTGTGGTCGGACTTGGAATGGGAGTCGGCGCTGCGCTTTCCCCGCCTCAGCCGCGTGCTGCCCGAAGTTGGATCAACACATGACCTGTTGTTCGCCCCTTGTCTGTGGTCACTGCGGGGAGGGGCAGGCCAAAGACCGCGTGGCGAGAGGAAGCCAGGCAATGCTGGGAAGCCGCAGTCTCCTAACACCTGTTCCCGTCTCTTCCCGCCAGGATCCCCTGGTTTCAGTACCCCATTATCTATGACATTCGGGCCAGGCCTCGGAAAATCTCCTCCCCCACAGGCTCCAAAGGTAGGTCTGGGTGCTTGAGAGTCACGTGGCAGATTGGACCCCCTAAAAATTGAATAAGGGAGCCCAACTAGAGACCCTTGGGGAGGTCCCTATGACCTTGGGTTCCACCTCTGCAGAAACAGCTCTAACAGAACCACCTGCCTCCCAGGGCCAACACGGTCCAGATACAGTGTGTTTGCATATTTTTATTCTTGGCACCTCCCTCCACTAACTCAGGAGAGCGCTGCCAGGCCTTTGTCTTACTCCCAAGATCAAAGCTTTATTTGAAAGCCTTTTTTCTCTCTTGCTTGACTCAGTAGCTCATCCATGAGTACCCTGTGTCCTGGAGAAATTTCTCCCCACTCCTGCACCTGCTCCTCTTCCTAGAAGCCTTTCCTTTGAGATTGCTTGGCCGCCTTTTCATCCCACCTACACACACACAGATGTGTACACACTTAGGCGAGTAGCATACCTGTAGCCTGTAATGTGCCCTGTACTGATTTTAGCACAGGTCCATTCTTCATTGGATAAATCCTGGGAGTAAAGGATTTCACTGTCTAGTAGAAGAGCCAGATGACAGGGCCTGCATTAGAGGGTGCATGAATACAATGGCAGAAGAGGAGTCGGCGCTGCCTTTGGCTCCCCAGATGCCCTCGTGTGTGGGCACACATGCTGTGTCTGTGTTCCCTGTTGGCCTGATTGCACCCCTTCCCCAAGGGGGGCAGCAGGCTGCGTGTCATTGTTCTGGGCCTAGGAAGAGAAAGGGCTCAGGGAAGGACACTCGTCCTTGGCCATCCACTGCTGACCTCACTCTCAGACCTGCAGATGGTGAACATCTCCCTGCGAGTGCTGTCTCGACCCAATGCCCAGGAGCTGCCCAGCATGTACCAGCGCCTCGGGCTGGACTACGAGGAGCGAGTGTTGCCGTCCATCGTCAACGAGGTGCTCAAGAGCGTGGTGGCCAAATTCAATGCCTCGCAGCTGATCACGCAGCGAGCCCAGGTCGGCCCCCCTCACCGTCTGCGCGGTGTCATTGCCCTGCTAGACCCAGAGAACTAAATGTCCTGAAAAGGCAGCTTCTTAGAAAAGGGCCATAGCTGCCGTTCCACTTCCACTAAAAGCTGAACTGATGGCCACGCGAGAAATGAGAAAAACCAGCACCAGAGCTCGAGGGCACTTGGGGAGGGAGCGAAGGGAAAACCTAGGCTTCTCCGGTGCCTCTTTCGGCACAGGGGCTTGTGTCACGGGTCGGCCCGACAGGAAGCTAAGTAGCGGAGACAGTTGGAGGACCTGCTAGCCTGGGGTGGCTGTCCCACCTCCGAGGCTGTGCCTCCCTCCCCCCCCAACTCCCCACCCCATCAAATGCGAAGATGTTCTGTTGAGGAACCAAGAGAGGCTGGGTGAGCTGATGGCCACACTTACGTGATCTGTGTTCAGGTGGTCATAGCAACACAACCTTCCTTTCAGTTCTCCAATTCCCACAAACCGGCCCTGCCCTCCCCTCCTCACCCCTGCCCCCAGGTGTCCCTGTTGATCCGGCGGGAGCTGACGGAGCGGGCCAAGGACTTCAGCCTCATCCTGGATGATGTGGCCATCACGGAGCTGAGCTTCAGCCGAGAGTACACAGCTGCCGTGGAAGCCAAGCAAGTGGGTGAGTTGCAAGGGGAGGAGGGCGCGGGCGTCTGAGAATGTGGAAGAACGGACTCTGGATCAGGCCCCTGACCTTCACATCTGTTGACTGTTCCCTCCGCCTCTCCCACCCTGTAGCCCAGCAAGAGGCCCAGCGGGCCCAGTTCTTGGTGGAAAAAGCAAAACAGGAACAGCGCCAGAAGATTGTGCAGGCCGAGGGCGAGGCTGAGGCCGCCAAGATGATATCCTTCTGCCAGAGAGCTCCACTCCTCTCCCCTGTGGGCCGGCTGATGAGACTAAGGCGAATGCGACTCCGGCTCTCTGCCCCTGGGCTCCGGGGGTGGGGTGGGGGGGCTGCAGATGGGATCTGAGATCTTAGTGGGGGGCCTGAGGCCTGGCTCCCCACTGTAAGGTCAGATCAATAGCGCAGTGGCCTTGCCTCATTGCTGCTGCTGTGCCCAGGAGCTGACAGCAGCCTGCAGGGAGGCCCACAGGTGCAGGGCGGAGCAGGAGCCACCTGAGCGCAACCTTGGACCTGACGGCCCTGAGGAAGTGGTGAGGACAGGGCAAGGGATTGAGACCTGGCCCTGTGTAAGCCCTTAACCCTGCCGTGCTCACCTTGGAGAGGCACTGAGCAAGAATCCTGGCTACATCAAACTTCGCAAGATCCGGGCCGCTCAGAACATCTCCAAGACGGTGAGTGGGAGAGGCCAGCGTCTGCAAGGGCTGCCCTGGAGGGGAAGGAGCGAGGGCACTGCCGGCTCGCTCGTTCTTGCCCAGGTTTCTGCTCAGGCTAGCTTAGCTTCTCTGTGTGTGTCCCCCGCGGCCCCCTGCCCCCAGCCTATTGTTCATGCTCCTGATGGTACTAACACACCACAGTGAACGAGCAGACACCCCACCTTACGCGTGTCTGCGTCCCGGGGTCCTAACCCGCATGGATCCCATCCAAGGGTAGGAGTGAACCCTGTCCTGTCTGCCGCCCTGCAGATCGCCACGTCACAGAACCGCATCTATCTCACTGCGGACAACCTCGTGCTGAACCTACAGGATGAGAGCTTCACCCGGTGAGAAACGCCACCGCATGGGGAATCCCATCCCCTGGCCTCTGGCCTGGACACTGCTTCTCTGAACCCGAGTCAGAAAGGGAGACGCTGACTGTTCCTATTACCTTGCATCCCATAGGATTGATTTTAAAGATCATATAGAATTACATAGAAAGCAGTTTACTGTAAGGGTTTTTTTTTTGGGGGGGGCTGGGGGGGTGTTATGGTAGAAGATATTTGGTTCTCCAGAACTGCTGCCCTGGGGCATGGCAGGATGTGAGGAGCACAGAGGTGAGAATTAGCAGTGGCCAAGAGTCCGTCATGAGCCAGAGATTTCTGCCTTCTGGCCCCTGCTTGTTTTTTTCGTTTGGGAGCAAAGGAGGGTTTGGAGCTGGGTGGGGCCTGAAGTTGTCAATCACACCTGCCTTTCTCTCTTCCTGCTTCCTGCTCCTTTGGCTGGTGATCTGGTATTCGCAGGGGAAGGTAAGTTGTGGTTGCACCCTTGTTTCTTCAGGGTCGTGCAGGCCACCTTTTCCGGGTACCTGCCTCTCCCAACCTCCCCACAGACAAACGCTCAAATCAGGGGAGGAGGGTAGCTGAAGGGGGAGTGGTCTGTGGTGCTGTACATCATTCATGTTCCCTGATGATGTCATCCATCTTGTTTCCCACAGCGACAGCCTCATCAAGGGTAAGAAGTGAGCCCGGTAACCGAGAACTGCCCCCGGAGAGGAAGTGGATCTGTCATCCCTGCAGGGTCCCCGCACAGCCCACGACTGCCCCCCATATCATGTGATGACCCCTCTGCACCCGTCCCCCCAACGCTGTCTTGGATTAAGGAAGCCTGAAGACTGACCCTTGGGGAAAATGACTCTTCCTCCCTGTGTTGGCCAGGGATATTGGGACAGTGTGATTTCTCAGTGATTTCCTACAGTGGTGTTCTCTCTCTCAAGACTAGGAGGAAATAACCACCATCCCAGGAATTCTCAATAAATTTTTATTACTTAAGCTAAGTCAGGGCCTCATGTGTCTGGGTTACGTGGGAGGCGTGCACAAGGTCACATACTTACTCTGGGGTCTTTCCTTGTATCCACCAGCAGAGGGCGCAAAAACCCTGGCCAGGGTCAGGCCTGTGCTCTCCCCCTCCCAAGGCCAGCATTTTGGGCTCCAAAGACCCAAGCTGGGAGCAGCCGACTCTCAAATGCAGAGGCCCAGCTGCACTCGTCACCCCGCCCTCTGATTCTGCCACATCACCCTATTTTTTTGCCAACGTCTTTTTAAGACTGGTGTAGCTGTGGCTTTGCTGAACCAGACTGAAAATCTGATAACCCCAATGGGCACAGCGTCCTTGGTAACAGGGTTCCAAGTAGCTGTGGGACCTCAAGAGCCCAGTGGACCGGGCTGCTGTGCTTTCAGCTTCACCAGCAATGAGCAGCCGTTTGCATTAGCAGGACTCCGCTGGTGGCCATGTTGCCTCCTACAACTTGGGGGCCCCTCAGCAGAACAGGTGCTGCCTCACACCTTCCCCGGGACAGCCCTCCTGGAGCTCAAGTACAAGAGAAGCCAGAAGGGAGAGGAGGCGGACACTGGCCCCACTGCAGAGCCACTGGGGGCCCCAGAAGAGATCAACAGACAACGGCCAAGGGAGCGGAGCTGTCTCACGTTCCTGTTCACGCTTTATTTCTCTCAACGTCCCCAAGGCAGGCAGGCAGTTGTGCCTGGGGAACCAACAAGTATGAGTATGGTTCCAAACCTTGCTCTGGCTCCAGAGGCAGCCATTTTGTCTCCTTCCCATTGTTCCCCTTTTCCCGGTGACTCACCCCCCCACCCACCCAGAGGGGTAAAGGTCAGAAGGCCTCCCGGTCTCCAGGGCTCCCCGAAGGTCACTGCCGAGGAAGCCGACCCGGGGGCCATCTTTACCAGACAGTGTTAGGAGCTTCACAAGTAGACCATCCAACACTGTGCTGGAAGATGGGCCCAGAGCCGGCCAGTTGTGGGAACACCGGTTGTAGGCCAGGGCAGATGTCTTGAGGGTACAGCAGCCAACCCCACACTCAAGGCTGGCTGTAGTTCGGAATCCATGAGATGACAAATCTCACCAGGTGGGGGTAAGGAGTGGGGCAGGGCACCAGGCCACTGTGTCCTTTCAGTGGGCAGCCAGCCAACCGGAGCCACCCTCTTCTTCAGCACCCTTGGCTCCAGGCAAGGAGCTTCCGGGTGTGGGGGTGAGGCTTTCTGGGGCCTGGCCAGGCACCGGAGGCCGTTGGATGCCGCTGACATGGGGACAGGGGCCTCCATCATTACCCGGCAGTATTAGAGACTCCCAACCAGCACCCAAACACTGCTGGGTAAGACGAGGGCCCCCACCCACCCTGGCCACCTCCAGGTCGGGCAGCCCCAGGCCCTGCAGCCGGGCTGCAGATCCCCGTCTCCCATCCCCCCACTACCCGCGTCCCTGGGGACACTTCCGGGTGAGCCCCGCTGCCCACCGCCACCAGCCCCACCTGAGTCGCTGCCCAGCGGAGGCCCCAGCAGGGCTTCAGGAGCCCCTGGCCCCCTGCTCGCCGCCACCGCTGAGACCCTTCCCCAACACCCACTGCCTGTCCCTGCCCCCAGCACACCGCCGTCCGATTTCGCTCGCTCAGCCCCAGGACCTCACGCCCAGGGGCCTTTACCTGTCACCAGGCCCACCTGACCCTCACAGAGGCAATGTGGAGGAGAGGAGGGGGCGTCAAGGCCCCGATTCAGCGGCCTCGAGCCCGCCCTGGCCTCCGCTCTTCCTCCTTCCTTCTCCGCCCGCTGCCGGGCGCGCAGCTCCTCACCTGGGCCCCGCCCGCCCGCCGCCCAGCGCACAGGTGTGTCCTCCTGCCATAGGCTGCCCCCCCACCGCCTTAACCCCTTCCCTCCCAGCGCCGGCCACGCCGCCGCCGCCGCCCCAGCCGGCCTCCCCGCCCCCCGCCAGGCCGCCCACCGTCTCCTGGCCGCCTCTTCTCCCCTTACCTGTCTCCTCAACCCCCAGTCCTCAGAGGAACAAAGGGAGGGGCTGCCCCTGAGCCCCCTTCCCACAGCGGCTCTCGCCCCCCACCCCTCCCCCGCTGCCCCGGCCTAGCCGGGCCCTCCGAAACAGCGGCCTCAGACCCTGCCCACAGCCAGAGGTCCCCCCGAGGTCAGCGAGGTCAGCGAGGGGTCAGCTTGGCGGGGCTGGAGCTGGGCCCCTGCCCAGTGCCCAGCCTATGCTGCGCATGCCTAGAGAGGAAAGGGCAGCGAGGCGGCCTGCGAGGCCTGTGGCGGCCGGGCAGGCCCCAGCAGGGCGCCTGGCGGTCCCCACCCCGCGGGTCGGCCCCTGCCTGAGGCGCCCCCGCGGCCAGGGGCATCCACCCCGGCCTCGCAGCCAAAGCCCTGGACTGCCCTTGGCGCCGTGGTCGCCGCCGCCCGACAGGGGGGTGGCGGTGCCCTGCGATCTAGGCAGCGGCTCGCGACCCACCTCAGCTCGCCTCACCGTAGCCCTGCGTGGACTCGAGTCCCAACCCAAGGGCAGTTAGCCCGAGGGCGGGCGGTTAGAGGGGTGGGACCTGCCTTTCTTTTGTGCCGCTCGCTCGGGCAGCGAGAGAGAAAGGGCGTTGCTGGGAGAGGGGCCCCGAGGCCGACAGGTGATTGCCCCACCCACCCAGCCACCCCCGGGAGGGCCACCGCTGCCGGTAGCTATTGTGTTGCTCAATCCCTGGGCTCCTGCTCTCTCTCCCTCCCCTTTGTTTGCGTCCTAATTCATACCTGTCTGCAATTATGTTATGTTTGTGGGCTCTAGGCCAGTCTCCTGTGGCACCGCGGCGCCCCCAGCACTAACTAGCCCTGTGCCTGGGACACAATGGGCGCTCCACAAAGGGTTGGCTGAAGAAATGAAAGCCGGCCGGCCCCTGGGCTGGGGACCCATGCCCTGTCCTCAGCACTTGGGCAGCTCCTTCTTGGGTACCCCCTCCCCCACCAAGGGATTGGCATTTTCAGTAGAAAAGGACCCCACTGGAAGGGAGAGGGGGAGGCCAGGTAAAAGTCTTCCGGCACCCCGCCCGCCTGCCCCGGGGACATGGCGAGGAGCCTAGGAGGGGCTGGCCGCAGTGTGCAGGTGGAACCCAGCCCGCCCAGCCTCTGCTTCCTGCTCTGCGGGAACCTTCTGGGTTCTTGGGTCCAGAAGTGGGCCACAGAGCTGACCCCAGCTGCATCTGCAGTGCAAGGAGTGTGGGCTCTGAGGTCAGACACAGCACTTAAGACCCCACCTGGGACGCCCACAACCCATGCTGGAATGCCTGGGTTCAAGTCCAGCTCCACTTCTGATTCCAGCTTCCTGATCATGCACGCTGGAAAGCAGCTCAAGTACTTGGTGCCCTGCCACCAAGATCCAGGCTCCTGGCTTCAGCCTGGGGAGTGGACAGCAAAGAAAAGATCTCTGTCTGGCTCTCTCTGTGTCTCTACTTTTCAAATAAATTAATTACCTTTTAAAATACAGAGGGCAGGCATTGTGGCACAGTGGGTAAAGCCACTGCTTGTGACACTGGCATCCCATATTGGAGCACCAGTTCGAATCCCGGCTGCTCCACTTCCAATCCAGTTCCCTGCTAATACACCCAAGAAGCAGCAGGTGACAGTCCAAGTACTCGAGATTCTACCACACACAGGAGAGACCTGAATGGAGTTTCTTTGGCCTGGCCCAGCCCCAGCTCTTTCAGGCATGTGGGGAATGAGTCAGCACATGGAAGATCGCTCACTCGCTCTCTCTCCCTCTCAAATAAATACAACTTAAAATAACAAAATTCTGTGTAGTGCCGTAAAGAGTCCCTGACCACAAGGCCTGTGTGGAGTGAACTCTTGTTGCCATGGTTACCACCAGCCATTACCACGGTGTTGTTCCCAGCCGCTGTTGTGTTGTGTCCACGCTCCATTCTGAAGAACAGAGACCGAGAAACCTTGCCTGTGGTCACCCTCCTGGACGCAGCAGAGTCCGGGGCCAGGTCTGTGTGCACCGCTGCAGCCCCACCGCGGCCCCCACCCACCTCCTGCCCAGTCACTGGGCAGGCAAGGCGCAGTCAGAGAGGATGCACACTGACAGTGATTGACGGTGATCAAGAGATTTTATTTACAGAAGTAGAAGAGCTGTCTCTGCCTGGGGCATGGCTGGGCTTATATACACGGGGGGGCGGGGGGCACGGCCATTTAAATTACAGGATGGGGGCTCCACGATGATTCCACTGGCGGCCTCCACAGGGATCAGTGTTGAGACTGCAGAGAGAAGGGAGTGCGGGATCAGAGGGTGACTGGATCCTAGGGGGCCGGCCCGAGAGCAGCCGGAAGGGCAGTGCACGGCTGCAGCCACCCCAGCCACCCAGGGGCAAGCGTGGGCAGCAGGGGTGCTGGGGGCAGGGCGGGGAGGAGCCTGGAGCAGACGGGGCCATACCACAGCCAGTTCACTTCCTCTTGAAGGAACCCTTGCCCTTCTCCTTGTCCGCTGACCTCTGCTTCTTCATTTTGTCCTCCTTCTTGTTCTTGCTGTGCACATTCTCATACACATCCTCCTTGTGCCTGCGGGACGGGAGCGCAAGGGCAGGTCGCAAGTCAGCGGGGGCAGCTCTCTGGCTGCCTCCTCTCACAGGTGAGACTGCGGGCAGAGGCTCCGCCTGGCACAGGCCCATCCATCAGGAATACTTGGAGGGGGCTGGCACTGTGGCATAGTGGGTAAAACCACTGCCTGCAGTGCAGGCAACCCATATGGGCACAGGTACGAGTCCCGGCTGCTCCACCGCCGATCCAGCTCTCTGCTATGGCCTGGGAAAGCAGTAGAAGATGGCCCAAGTCCTTGGGCCCCTGCACCCGCATAGGAGACCCAGAAGAAGCTCCTGGCTCCTGGATTCGGATTAGCACAGCTCCGGTCCTTGCTGCCAACTGGGGAGTGAACCACTGGATGGAAGACCTCTCTCTCTCTCTCTCTCTGCCTCTCCTCTCTGTGTAACTCTGACTTCCAAATAAATAAATAAATCTTAAAAAAAAAAAAAGAGTACTTGGAGAATGCTCAGGAACAGAGTTTGTAAGAACCAAGCTTGCACTTGAACCCAGGTCTCCCCAGTTGCAACGTGCTTCCTCTCCAGAAGGGAAGGTCCTGACTGGCCAGAAGCACAGGGCGGAGGGTGGGAGGTGGCAGGCAGGGGTCACTCACTTGGAGGATGTGCGGGAGGCCTTGGCATGGGCATTCTTCATGGCAGGGGGGTAGGTGATGTTCCCATACTCCGACTCCTGGCCCTTCTGGGACTGTGGGCAGAGGTGTGATGGGAGGGCGGTGGTCCCAGCGGGACCAGGTGACCCCTCCCCACTATGACCCCACCAGGCCCCGCTCTGCACACACCTGCATGACTTCCAGCTTCTTCTTGGTGGTTTCGATGAACTGGGCAATGGCCACGTAGATGAACTTGTACTGCGCCTCTGTCTGCACCATGCCCGAGCGCTGTGCCCGCACCATCTGGATGGTCTTCTGGATGTCAATGTCACAGTCCAGCCCTGAGACAGAGATGGCGACCGGACCTCAGGCGGGGGCCGAGCAGAGGCTGGGGCCTGCTCCTCACCTCCCCACCCCCCACCCACCCACCAGGGCCCCCGGGAGACCTCACCCTTGGTGGAGATGCTCTCCATGAGCATGTCGATGACAATGATGGTCCCTGTGCGGCCGATGCCTGCGCTGGGGAGAGAAGGGGCTGCCCTCAGAGGCCCAGCGCGTCCCTCACCAGGAAGGGGGCCCGTGCTCAGCTCCAGCTCCAGCGGTGTGGGTGCCTGGAGCCCAGGGCTCACCTTGCTCAAGCTGTGCAGACACGGGAGGTCCTCCACACCGAGGCCAGGCCCCTCCCTCCCCACCGCCCCCTCCACTTCCTGCTCCAACTCCTCACCCCCTCACACACCCCACGGGACACAGGACCCCAGACCCTCCTGTCCTGCCGGCTCCCCAGCTCTGGGACCCTCCCATTCCGCCCCTTCGAGAGGGGCCCCTGGAGCTGCTTTTCTGGGATCTTCATTCCCGTTTGTTGTCAAACCCCCGCGGCAGCGAGACGGCAGCCCCCAAGACAGCGGGGTTCAGAGCAGTGAGGTCAGCACAGAGGGCATCTCCCTCCTCCCCACCCTCCGCCACAGCCCCAGAGCACAGGCCACACAGAGCACCCTTAGCTGGGCCTGTCATGGCGGTCGGTGCCTTGAGTGCCGCTGTCTAATTTAAAACCCAGATTGTCAAAAATAACCCCCCTCACCCACTTCCTTCCTGTAACATCTAAAAAAGGCCATGGGGGTTTCAAGAATTGTGTGAATGTGTGTGTGGCCAGGAACGGAGGCCCGCAGAGGACAGTTCTCGGGGATGGGCCTGAGCCTGGGAGGGCAGAGCCAGGTCCCTGAGATAGCACACGTGGGCACCTGCCCATCCGGGATCCAGCCCATCCAGCCTGCCTGGGGACACACAGTCGCTGGTGGGGAGGAGGCAGTCTAAAGACCTCATGGGCCTGGAGGCACATGGACAGAGCGGGAAGGGAAGACAAAGCCGGTTCACACTGCCCCACTCCCTGCCTGACAGTGAGTTACAAAACCACCGCCAACAGCTCCCGGAGGCCTCACCGAGGCCTCATGACAGCTCTGAGATCCTGAGTGCACAGAAGAGGACTGTGGGAGTCAGAGAAGTTAAGTTCTTTGCCCCGGATCACACAGCTGGCAGCAGGAGGCACCAGACTGAAACAGGTGGCCCGCATCCCAGACCCATCCCCACCACCCCCAATGTGCCCAGGCTGGGCTCGGTGGGCTATTATGGAACCCCCGCCTCCCCACTTCCCCTGACCTTGAACATGAGAGTGTGCAGAGGAGCTGGGGGTGCGTGTGCCCCTCCCAAAGATACCGCCATCCCCACACCTCACTGCGGGCCAAGATGGGGGGTTCTGGCTGGGGAAGGGGGGAGACAAGGAGGGGCAAAGAAGAAGCCCGAGGCTGCAGAGGGAAAAAGAGGAGGGATGGGGCCACACTGACCCCAGAGGGAAGGTGCTGGGGGCCAGTTGCAGGCCATGAGGGAAAACAGGGGCTGCCATGACCTGGGATTACGGTGAGTGCCAAGGCCAGCCCTCCCGCTGACACCTGGCAGGTTGCTGGGGCTCGGTTTCCATACAGGGGAGGGGTCCTGAGGAGACACACCCAGGCTGAGGGTGGAGTCTCAGGCGATGGGGGCCGAGGAGGCTGAGAGTTGGAGAAGGCACTGAAAGAGTTGATCTGTGGGGCCGGCGCTGTGGTGTATTGGGTAAAGCAGCCACCTGCGGCACCGGTGTCCACTGGGGCAGTGGCTGGAGTCCTGGCTGCTCCACCTCCACTCCAGTTCTCTATAAGCAGTACAAGATGGCCCAAGTCCTTGGGCCCCGGCACCCGCGTGGGACACCCAGAAGAAGCTTCTGGCTCCTGGCTGCAGATCAGCCCAACTCCAGCCATTGCAGCCACTTGGGGAGTGAACCAGCAGATGGAAGATACTTCTCTGTCTCTCCCCACCCCCTACTTTCTATAACTATGCCTTTCAAATAAATAAATCTTTTTTTTTTTTAAAGAGTTCATCTGCAAGGTGCTCAGGACAGTGCACGACAGGTGCTTAGCAACAGCCACTTCTCCACGGCTGTTTTCCTTATGACTGACGTCCTCAGACGATGCTCACCTGCAGTGCACGATGATGGGGCCTGCGTGAGGCAGACTTTCCTGTCGCTGGTTGATCTGGTCCAGGAAGCTGAGGACACCCCCGGGCTCGCTGGGCACCCCGTGGTCAGGCCAGCTCAAGTACTGGTAGTGCCAGATCTCCCGAACTAGGTTCCCCTGGATGGAAGACACAGGGTCAGAGCTCCCAACTCTCACATGACACCTCTTCCTGCCTCATCCCACCCAGCCAGACACGGCAGCAAGTCCAAGCAGGGGCTCTGGAAGTTGGGCCAGAGGCGGGGGACACTCACGTTGTCCAGCGGGGAGACTTGTAAGGTGCGCAGCTTGTACTCTGCCGTGTCGTGCTCCCTGCAGTTGCTCACGGAGTAGAGTCCATAGACACGCTGGGTGCCCAACTCAGGCCAGTAGGGGACACACTTGTTCTGGAAGGGAGGGGCGGGTAGAGGTGGGGAATGAGGCCCAGGGATTGGAGCTGGCGGTCGGTCGGGCCACCTAGGATCTGGTCTTGGCTCAGACAACACGGTGAGACCTGAGCAGCCACGTACAATTGGGAGAATAAACGTCAATGCAGGTTACAAATATAAAGGAGACCCCACCTGTGCCCTGCACCTCGGAAGCTCAAGAAGGACTGGGGAGCAGGGAAAATTAGAACAAACAGAACACACTAGAAGGGGCTAATTTCCCCCCTGGGCTCTGGAGGCAATCAGAGAGGCTTCACAGAGGAGGCAGCACTTGAGCTGGTCTTCAAAAATGAGGCAGAGGGCCTGGCACTGTGACACAGTGGGTAGAGCCACCACCCGCAGTGCCAGCATCCCTGTGGGCGCCAGTTCAAGTCTAGGCTGCTCCACTTCTGATCCAGCTCTCTGCTATGGCCTGGGAGAGCAGTAGAGGATGGCCCAAGTCCTTGGGCCCCTGCACCCGCTTGGGGTCCCAGAGGGGGTTCCTGGCTCCTGACTTTGGATCAACCCAACTCCAGCCATTACGGCCATCTGTGCAGTGAGCCAGCAGATGGAGGACCTCTCTCTCTCTGCCTCTGCCTCTCTGTAACCCTGCCTTTCAAAAAATAAATAAGTAAACCTTTTTTTTTTTTTAAAGAAAAAATAGATTTATTTATTCATTTGAAAGTCAGAGCTATACAGAGAGAGAAGGAGAGGCAGAGAGAGAGAGTCTTCCATCTGCTGGTTCACTCCTCAATTGGCCACAACGGCCAGAGCTACACTGACCCAAAGCCAGGAGCCAAGAGCTTCCTCCATGTCTCCCACGTGGGTGTAGGAGCCCAAGGACTCAGGCCATCCTCTACTGCTCTCCCAGGCCATAGCAGAGAGCCAGACTAGAAGTGGAGCAGCCAGACTCAAACCGGCCCCCACATGGGATGCCGGCACCTCAAGCGGCAGCTTTACCCACTAGGCCACAGCACCGACCCTAATGAGTAAATAAGAAAGAAAGAAAGAAAGAAAGAAAGAAAGAAAGAAAGAAAGAAAGAAAGAAAGAAAGAAAGAAAGAAAGAAAGAAAGAAAGAAAGACAAGACAGAGACAGTATGGGGAGAGAATAAAATGAGTTTGGGCAAAGCCACAGAAGCCTGAAGAGCCTGACCCACGGGAGATGGTGGGTGCCACGGGTGCCAGCCTTACACTGAAAACTCAGGTGGAGGGCAGCTGGGAGCCACTAGAGGGTTTCCAGAGAGGAAGCCATGGGGTCAAGTTTGTGTGCTTTGGGCAGGGTCACTTTGGCTGCAGGACAGGAGGTGCCATGGAAGGGCGAGCCCAGAGAGTAAGGGGTGGGCTCCAGAGCCATTTATGAGACAGAACAAGAGGGGCCTGCAGGGGGACACATGGGGAATGGGCAGCAGTAAGCTTTGCTTCCAAACACGGTAAGGGGAAGGACAGTTTAAAACATGGGGCTTGGGGCTGGCGCTGTGGCATAGCTGAGCCCCACCTGCAGTGCCGGCAGCCTATATGGGTACCAGTTCTAGTCCTGGCTGCTCTACTTCCAATACAGCTCTCTGCTATGGCCTGGGAAAGCAGTAGAAGATGGCCCAAGTCCTTGGGCCCCTGCACCTGCGTGGGCCATCTTCCACTGCTTACCCAGGCCATGGCAGAGAGCTGGATCAGAAGAGGAGCAGCCAGGACTAGAACCAGCACCCATATAGGATGCCAGCACCACAGGCGGAGGGTTAACCTACTGCGTCACAGCGTTGCCACCCCTCCTCCCAGCAGGGGTTAAACCCTCACCCCCTAAGGTCCCTTTCTGCCCTGGCATCTTCAGTTTCTTTGTTTCGGTGGTGAACAATGGGGCCTCAGCCTTACCCGGCCTTTCTCCACCTCGCGGGTGGTCATGACGATGACACGGGTGTTCTCCTGCCAGGCCATCTGCCAGAAGTCATTGACCGTGGCCTCCAGGCAGCCCTGGCTGGCGATATAGGTCTTAGTGTTCTCATCGGGGCCTAGCAGCTGGTTCTGGATGCAAGCAGAGAAGACAGCCCCAGGACCATGAGCCTCTCAGCAGCCTGGGACAGGCCTCGACCACGGCCACCCTCTTCCACCCGAGGGTCTCTGTGTCCCCAGGGCTTCCCATGGGACCTGCCACACTGACCTTGACATAGTTGGCATTGATGTAGTCGGACCCAGGGATGTTACTGTCCCTGCCCTGTAGGATCACTCGGCTGTGGTCAACTGGGAGTGGGCAGAGGGGAAGCAAGGCGGCCTGGTCAGACCCTGCCTACGCTAACAGGTCAGGCATTCTGGTCTCAAAAGCCATGAGGCTCACAGTGGGCTGCAGGGGATCTGTGTGGGGCGGTGGGGTAGAGGATTGAGAAGGAGGAGTTTGGTGAGAGCAGGCGGCAACTGCCTGTTGGCTGCGGGCACAGGGTGGGGGTGGGGGTTCCACTGGGAGGAGTCGGGGCTTTTGGAGGCAGGGGTGGCTTCCTGGAGGGAATGGGAGGGTGTAGACCCTGCGCAGCGGGGCGGGGCTGTCTGGGTGCTCACAAGGGAGAATGTTCTTGTAGCGGTTCTTGCTCTTGTTCTCTGGCCGCTGCCCTTCCAGCCGCTGGTGCAAGTTCTTTACCTCCTGCTTCTGCAGGCTCTGCAAGGGGAGAGAGGAGCTTGAGCAGCCCCCCTACGAGGGCACCCACGGGCAGACAAGACCTGGGGCCAGGAAGGTGGCCACCCGGGACCCCACACGCTGGCCGCCGAAGGCCTCGGCCGTCCCAGCCCTGCAGAGGCCCAGCGCGCACCTCAAACTCCTCCCAAAAGCCAGCTTTGGCCGAGTCCTCCGACTCCTTCTTCTTGTTCAGCTCCAAGACCCGGCTCTCAATGTCGGCTGCGTTCACCCGCGTGGCGTAGTATGGCTGGGGTCAGGGAAGGCGATATGTCAGCCACTCGGAGGTCTCAGAAGCTCATGCGCAGGCGCGAGGGCTCAGGGGCAGGCAGCAGGCAGCCGGGCCCATGTGCTTACCTGCCGCAGATAGACGAAGGCGCCAGAGGCCTCCTCAATCCCCGTCTTCTTGAAATGCTCCACCAGGTCCGTGAGGCTGTCAAAGGTGTCGGGACCGCCCACCGTGTAGCGTCCACCCTGAGGGTGCCGAGCAAGGCCATCCCTGGACCCGAAGCCTCGGACCTGAGCCCCAGCAGACCCGCCCCGCCGCCCACGCTGCGGGCACGGACAGGAACTCACACAAGCCCCCCCCCCCCCCCCGCCCCCGCCCAGCTGCCTACCTCGCACATGACCTTGATGTGGGTGACCCTGAGCGGGGAGCCAGGGCCACTCTTGAGCTGGTCGCTGAGCACCGACAGCACAAAATCTCCAGGCTGGCTGAGACTCTCACGCACCAGAAACGTCCAGGGCTCGCCCTTGGCCTGCAGCAGCGTCTCTGCCTGCCCTCCAGACATGTGGCCGTGGTACCATCTAGAGGGAAGCAGCATCAGGGCAGATGAGACCCAGGTCACGGGGAAAAGGCCCCGGGCAGGCAGAGGCATTCACAGACTGCCCACGACGTGCCAGGCACTGAGCTGGATGCTTGCAAGTCCACCACATTGAGGATTGAGATCCATTGCTCTCTCACAGAAATGTGCTGGGATCCCACTTGACAGGTGCAGAAACTGAGGCTGAGCAGCCGCACACCGGCCCAAGACCTCTGACTGGTAAGAGGCAGCCTCAAGAGTTCTAGCCAGGCTTTGGACCCAGAGCCCATCTGAGAACTCAAGACAGAGGAGAGGCAGGCACTACTGGGGCTCCGTGGAGAAACCAGGGGTGAGTCTCCGGAGGAGGGGTCTGGGCTAGGGAAAGGCAGCAGAGACAAAGACATGCAGACTGAGTGGGGGAACTCAGGGGGGAGACCGGGCAGGGAGCGGGGGACACAGCCCCACTAGGGACACAGTGGTTTAGGGGGCTCTGGGTGCTCAGCATGATGTCACCAAAAGGGAGGTCGGGGTTCACAGGGACGCAAGGGGGCAGAAAACAGAACTAAGACCTTTCCCCGAAGTATACCCCCTTCCCAGGAGGAAACCATAGCCCCGCGATGCCCAGCCCCACAGGAAACCACGTGATGGAAAAAACACCAACTCCTTCTGGGGAGAGAGTGAGAAGTGAGGTTTCCTCAGCCGGCACCAGGGGAAGGGGGGCATTTTCCAACCGCAGGGATGGGGGAAGGAGGGAGGGGCCGGCCTGTCCCCAGCATGTCCCCTCTTCCCCCCACCCCCTCCCTGGGGAAGACTCCAGCTCAGAGGCCCCCTAGAGTCCCCCACCCCGCCCATGAGCCCCCAAGCCACCCCTCCCTACCACCACCCAGGGGCAGCCCAGGGCCCCCAGGCAATGGGGAGGGGGCGAGCCCCCTTCCCTGGGCCCCAGGATGAGGAAGTCTCCATGCAAATGTGAGGCTGACCACAGACAGGGACACAGCCATCCAGGGGACAAATGCAAATGCCGGAAGAGGAGGCCTTGGCCAAAGAGGGGGCAGAGGTTTCAGAAGCCTGCAGACAGGGCCTCTCGCAGGTTCCTGGGGTCAGGGGTGAGACCCAGGCCTCTCAGCTTGGGTGACCCAAGAGGGTCCCCACCTCAGCACTGCCTTCCCTCCCCTCCTGCTTCTCCCACGCCCGGTGAACCCAGGCCCCCAGCCCTCTCCCCAGGGGCTGCTCAGCTCCCCTCTCCAGCGCCATCCACAACCCACGGCAGCCCTAAGGTCTCCTCCAGCAGGGCCATCCAGGCTTGAGGTGAGGAGAAAGGGGCAGAAGGAACCACAGGGGCAAGCTGTGGGTGGGGAGGGAGAGGCCAAGGGAGCAGGCGGCCCTGCTGAGGCGTCCCTCCAGGAAGCCACTCTCCAGGGCTTCGTGTCCACCCCGGCCCTGTCCACTGCTAGGTTTGAACCAGTCACTTGGGCCAAAATACTGACACAGGTTTGGTGGCATGAATCTCAGAAGGACTGAAAACTGACAGGGGCAAGGTGCAGAAGCATTTCAACAGGAGTCAGGATGAAAAAAAAAAAAAAAAAAAAAAAAAAAAAAAAAAAACAAACAACCCTAGGCAGCCCACAGCAGGCTCTGTCTTGGAGATAGGGCCAGGGTGAGCCCCTGGGGCCCTTGGGTGAGGTTCACGCTCTGGGGAGGAGCCAGCCCTGTTCTGGGGGTCGGCCTTGAGCACAGTGCAGGGCCCTGTCCTTCCAGGACCCCATACCACCTGCTTCCCATTACCTCTGTGGGGACCCCATGGGCTAGACCCCCTCTCACTGGGTTGCCCGGAGCCCAGCTCACACAGCTCGCCTGTAGGGGCCCGGGTCATAAGCAGGCAGATTCAGTTCCACAGAAGGGAAGCTTTCTAACAATGGGCTCGGCCGCCACGAGGGGCGGCTTCCTGCCACCAGGAGGACCCCGGTGAAGGGCAAGGCTGCAGCATAAGAGGGAGAAGCGGAGCCCAGAGGCCTGAGCCGGGGCGGGCCAAAGGGGCCGGCTGCAGGGCCCTCACCTCTCGCTAGTGGGGTCGGAGCAGTTGAGCGGGTACTTGAGGTGGATGATGGTGCCGTCACGGTCCTGCAGCACGCCCTGCTGCTGTGTGTAGTACTCCACCAGCTCCGTCAGCGTGGCGAACTTCTCCCCTCCATACAGGTCGTAGAAATCCCCAGAGTTCTGGATCCGAATGTGGGTCACCTGGTCCCCGACCCTGCAGGGCACCAGCCGTGAGGCCAGGCGTCTGGCCCCCCGGGGAACCCATGGGGAGGGGGCCTGCGCAGGTGTGGGGGACGGGGTGGGGGTGGGACAAGGACACAGCAGAGGCACGGGGCCAGGGGAGCAGGGAATGAGGGCTCCAGGGGCCTAGGCCAGTGCAGCGTCGCTGGGACCACCTACCTGACAGACAGGGAGAAGTCTCCCTGGTTCTTGCGACTGGGCCGAGCCAGGAAGCTGCCATGGACGCCTCGGCCCTTGAGCAGGGTCTCTGCGTCCAGCCCACTGAGGTCCCGGTGGAACCACCTGGAAGGCCGGGCAGGGTGGTGAGGAGAGGTCCCTCGGCCGCCCCAGAGCACCCCCATCTCCCACCCTCTGACCGCAGCTCCCAGCGCTTACCTCACCATCCTGGGGGCTTCCGGAAAGCAAGGGGCAGCAGGGAAGGAAGGAGGGCAGCCTCACACAGGCCGGCGGAGCACTCTGGAGCTAAGGCTCAAACTGGGCTCCAAGCGCCCGGCCGCCTCACCACCCACCCCACGGTGCGGTGCCGGGGCTGGGGCTGCCGCTGCACTGGCCTGGCGCAGCCAGCAGGGCGGGGACAGGAAGGGGCGCGGCCGACCCCTTGGGGGAACTCACTTGACTTCTCCTTTTAGCATAGAGCAAGAGAAGAGCGGGGTGACATGGGATGGGGGCAGGGCCCACTTCCCACACGGCCGCCATCTAAGGCTCAGGGGCATGGCACTGCGGCAGATGGGACAGCTCATGAATAGGGGGCCCACGCACGCCTGGGACACCTCATGGCAAAGAATTCTGCTTCCTGCCTGGGAACCTGCCATGGTCTCCTCTTCCTCCATCCGCTCCCTGGCCCACGCTAATACGCTGTTCGTTCATGGGGCCTCACTGGGCTTTGCGTGCGCTCCCAGCAGCTCTAGGACACAGGCGCCTGCTGCGACCCCACTTTGCCAACTGGGAACCGGGGCTGTGGGAGTGGAAGGATTGGCCCAAGGTCATCCAATTAGTCAAGTGCCAGTGCCGGGACTGAAACCCAGACTGGCTGCGTCCCAAACCAGGAATGGCAACCACTGCACACCAGCCCTGGGGCTTCAAAGAACAGAGGCTGCGCAGCTGCTTGACCCAAGGGGCTGCTGTGGGGTGCCGAGATGCTTGAAGGGGGGAAGCGCGCCCTCCCTTCCTAGGCCTTCGATGGCAGAGGGATGGACACGATGACCCTGTCAAATGTGGGTCTTTTCTACTTTTGGTCTCCAGGCCTTTACCCTATCCCAGAGCCTGGGAGCCCAACTCCTGGGGACTGGGGGCCGGCTGACCTCCAGCGACCCTGAACACTAAGATTATGATGACCCCTGCACGGAACTCCAGGTGGCAACACAAACCCCGCCAACCCCGAGTGAGAGGAGGGCTCAGCAGAAGACGCACAAGGGCCTTGTGGGGGTCTCCCCCGGAGAGGGAGACCGGGCGGGGAGCACAGGGCTGGGGACGACACAGGCCTCTGCCTTGCACCTTTCTGGACGCTGTGCAATGGCTTTACCGTTATCAAAGCTGATGCCCCGTGGGTCCGATGCCTGCATCCCAGCTCCACTCCTGACTCCAGCATCCTGCTAATGCAGGCCCCCAGAGGCAGCAGAGGAGGGCTGCAGTGGGTGGGTGCTGCCACCCATGAAGGAGATCTGGATTGAGTTCCCGGCTCCTGGTTTTGCCATTTCAGGTATTTGGGAAGTGAACCAGCAAATGAGAACCCTGTCTATCCCGGCCTCTCAGATCAATCAATGTCAATTGTAAAAACAAATTTTTGTAAAGTGACGGGAATACGGCAATTTCTGGGGAATTCATGGGCAAGCTGGGTGTTTGCACGATGCTTAGCATCAAGGTCCCTTAAGTGTTAGTCAGACCTCAATTTAAAAATAAGGGAGGCTGGCACCGTGGCTCAATAGGCTAATCCTCCGCCTTGCGGCACCGGCACACCGGGTTCTAGTCCTGGTTGCCCCTCTTCCAGGCCAGCTCTCTGCTGTGGCCAGGGAGTGCAGTGGAGGATGGCCCAAGTCCTTGGGTCCTGCACCCCATGGGAGACCAGGAGAAGCACCTGGTTCCTGCCATCGGATCAGTGCGGTGCGCCGGCTGCAGCACGCCGGCTGCGGCGGCCATTGGAGGGTGAACCAATGGCAAAAGGAAGACCTTTCTCTCTGTCTCTCTCTCTGTCACTGTCCACTCTGCCTGTCAAAAATAAAAATATATATATATAAAAATAAGGGAAACGTGGGAGACGGAGAAAGCTCCTGCCTCTTGGCTTCAGATCGACACCACTCTGGCCATTGTGGCCATTTCAGGAGTGAATCAGTGGGTGGAAGACCTCTCTCTCTCTGCCTCTGCCTCTCTGTAACTTTGCCTTTCAAATATATAAAAATAAATCTTTTTTTAAAAAAAAAAGGAAAACAACATATTAAAGCCCAAAAGTTTAATTTCTACAGACAACTACTTTCTCGTTTTTTGGAAATATCAAATGTGAATTATTTTTTTCAAAAAAAAAAAAAAAGGTTTTCCTCTTTGGGTTTCTCCTCTTAGGTGTTCTGGAGAATCTTCGTGGTCTGTTTATCACCACGAATTCCCAGGAGCTTGCTCCTCCCACAGGGGGGAGAGCAGGTGCAAGGCTGGCTCCACCCCAGGGGGTCCCTGGCCTCCAGCTGCGCAGCGCCAAGCACACTTGGCACAGGACAGTGTCCCCCATGGACCACGGCACCAAACACTGCAGTCCTGGCAACCAACGCAGCTCCTGACTGCCCCTCCCCCAACCCTGCCTGTCCTGTGCAGATGAGGACAAGGACACACACAGATCCACTCCCCACGCCTCATCCTCCACCCCTGGTCTGGGGCAAACGTCCACACACAGGCATGACCCTGACCACACAGTTTTAGGAGCGGGCTCAGCACCAAACACCGCTAGCCCCTAACTACCAGCCCCCTGCCATGGTCTCCTTCAGGGCTTACATCACCTGGTGGGAACCTGACCCATGGAGGAAGAGGAAGCTCTCTGAAGGGTGTCAAGCCAAAAGACACCCAGAAAAGACACAGTCCCTGCTGTCCTTGGCAGGCAGGTGGATCATAGCAACCTCGCGTACTGTACTTGGTGCTCCGGAGTCGACAGAACATCTACACACACAACCTTCCCATGCGCGCCATAGACCAACAAACTCCCCACAGCATCAGAAAGAGGACACAATTTATTTATTTATTTATTTTTTGGACAGGCAGAGTTAGAGAGACAGAGAGAAAGGTCTTGCTTTTCCATTGGTTCACCCCCGAAATGGCCACTACAGCCGGCACGCTGCGTTGATCTGAAGCCAGGAGCCAGGTGCTTCTTCCTGGTCTCCCATGTGGGTACAGGGGCCAAGGACCTGGGCCATCCTCCACTGCCTTCCCGGGCCACAGCAGAGAGCTGGCCTGGAAGAGGAGTAGCCGGGACAGAACCGGTGCCCCAACCGGACTAGAACCCCGGGTGCCAGCGCTGCAGGCGGAGGATTAGCCAAGTGAGCCGCGGCACTGGCCAACAAAGAATTTTTTAATTATAAAATATTAATTAAAAAGAGGAAAAATATTTGGGGTGGGGATTTGATGTTTGTTGTTTCCAAAAATGACAAAACAGTTGTCATGGGAAAATTATACTTTCACTGGGCTTTACTACATTGCTATTTACTTTTCCTTATTTTCTTGAGGTCATGTGATGTCAGAATTCTTTTTGCTATTCTTTTTTTCCATTCTTTTTTTTTTTAAGAATTATTTATTTATTTGAAAGTAAGAGAAACAGAGATAGTGGAAGAGACAGAGAAAGAGAAATCTTCCATCCACTGGCTCACTCCTCAAATGGCCACGACAGCATATGGCAGCTTCACCTTCTACCCCACAATGCTGGCCCCTGGCTATTCCTTTTTTAATTAAATATTTATTTATTTATTTATTTTAAAGGCAGAGCTACAGACAGGCAGGGAGAGACACAGAGAAAGAGAGAGAGATCATCATGTTCCTCCCACTGGTTCACTCCCCAGATGGCCACAATGGCTGGGGTTGGCACAGCCATAGCTTGAAGCCAGGAGCCGGGAACTCCATCTGGGTCTTCCACATGAGTGGCAAGGGCCCAAGCACTTGAGCCATCTTCCACTGCTTCCCCAGGCAAATTAGCAAGGAGCTAGGTTGGAAGTGGAGCAGCCGGGATTTGAACCAGCACTCTCTTATAGGATGCCTGGATCCCAGGCAGAGGCTTAACCCACTAGGCCACAACATCAGCCTCTCTCGGTTCTTTTTAGGGCACAAAACAGGCGCAGAAAGGCAGTGGGCTACAAAAGTAGGTGCCCAGTAACTCTGAAGAGAAAAGCATTCTTTGAGAAGCAGGGAGATAACAGTAAAAATGAAGACTGATGGCAATGTAGACTTGGAAGAGTAAACAGAGTGAAATAATCTTAGAAAGCTATTGAGCTTCTCTGAGCCTAGTGGTGCCACCTGATAAACAGGTTTAGCAATAGCTCTTAAACGGACATTTTGAGATCTGACCATTGTTTGTAGTCCTTTTCCATACTCCTGAGGAACAGTGGTTTTTCTACTTGTTGAATTCTTATTGTTTTTAAGATTTATTTTATATATCTGAAAGGCAGAGTTACAGAGAGAGAGAGGGAGAGAGAAAGAGAAAGAGAAATCTTCCATCTGTTGGGTCACTCCCCTAATAGCCACAATGGCTGGGGCTGGGCCAGATGGAAGCCAGGAGCCAGGAGCGTCGTCTGGGTCCCCCAGGCGGGTGCAGGGGCCCTAGCACTTGGCCATCCTCTGCTGCTTTCCCAGGTGCACCAGCAGGGAGCTGGATCAGAAGTGGAGCAGCAGGACTCAAACTGGCGCCCACAGGAGGATGTCGGTGCCACAGGTGGCCCTCTTACCCACTATCCCACAATGCTGGCCCCTTGTGGAATTCCTTGTTAAGCTTGTGATTATGAAAGAAATTGAAAGTATGTCATTGTAAAAATTGAAATAATAATAATAAAATGAGGAGGGAGAATGGGAGGGAGGGAGGTCAGAGTGGGGAGTATCATTATGCTCTTAAAACTGTATATACAAAATACAGGAAACTTGTTCTCTTTTTATAAATTAAAAAAAAAAAACCAGCTTTCAAATACTCATGTAATAAGCTGGCAGGTGCTCGTTTCAGCAGCTTTTACATTACACAATGGACACATTAGACACTGTATCCCTGGATTCCAGTCTGTGGGCTGGCTCAACCAATCAGGGGTCAAAAGTAATTGACACAAGTCCAGACACTGCTTAGCCAGCACATACTGGAGAACCTGGTTCGAGTCCCAGCTATGCATCCGATGACAACTTCCTGCTGGCACACACCTGGGAAGCAGCAGATGGTGGCCCAAGTCCTTGGGTCCTTCCACCCACATGGGAGACCCAGATGAGTTCCAGGCTCTTGACTTGAGCCTAGCCCAGCCCCAGCCATTGCAGGCATTTGGGGAGTGAACTAATGGATTCTTTATCTCTCTTTCAAATACAATGAAAATAAACTTTAAAAATATATTTTGAGAAAAAAAGTAGCTATACTAAACATGTATAAACTGGTTTTTTTTTTGTCATTATTCCCTAAACAGTGCAGTGTAGCACCTATTGCCCTAACATTTACATTGTATTGCATATTGTAAGGAATCTAGCAATGGTTTAAAGTATATGAGGGTGTGTGCAAGTTATATGCAACTGCAATGCCATTTTATATGAGGGACTTGACACCCACAGAGTTTGTTATCTCGGTTGCGGGGATTCCCATGACAAATGCGCAAATTAATTCTCGTGCCAACTGTATTTAGTAG